AGCCCCCTCGGAGGCTGATACCGCATGCTCCACTCCCAAACAAACTACACAAAGCTCGTGTGTGTCCCCACCCGTTAAATAACGCGGGCAGGGAGAAGCACAGAGTTTGTAAAGTTGTTTCGCCATAACTCTTCCCAATAATATCGTAACAGACAACAATAAATAGACAGAGACAGAGTAACACAGATCGCTTGCTGAGACGCAGAAGCTAATGCCGCGTTTCACCGGGTGAGCCTTTATCCCTTCCTGGTCATGACGTCACCCGCCCGTGACGCTCATTCTTTCCATTGGACTAGTTGACATTGATGCTCAGACGCATTCACGCTGGGGGCGTTCCCAAGGCGTCAAGTGACGCATCGCGAGTTCCCTCGAAAGGGAAATTAAGGTTTTTGATGAAAACATTCCAGGATATTTCTCCATATAATGCACTTTGCTGGGCACTAAACGGTTCAAGGTCCAAAAGACAGTTTCAGTGCAGCTTCAAAGGGCTTTAAACGATTTTAAAAAATAAATAAAAAAGTATACGTTTTATAAGCACAAATGCTCGCCTTGCTCTGTTCTGTGATGCGCGTTCGTGACGTCACGTAATACGCAATTACGTTGAAAAGGTACACAGAACAGAGCAAGGCGAGCATTTGTGCTTATAAAACTTAAACTTTTGTATTTATTTTTGAAATGACCGATCGTTTCGCTAGATAAGACCCTTATTCATCGTCTGGTGTCGTTTAAAGCCCTTTGAAGCTGCACTGAAACTGTCATTTGGACCTTGAGCCGTTTGGACCCCATTGAAGTCCATTATATGGATAAAACTCCTGGAATGTTTTCATCAAAAACCTTAATTTCTTTTCGACTGAAGAAAGAAAGACATGGACATCTTGGATGACATGGGGGTGAGTAAATTAATTATCAGCAAAAGTTTTTTTTAAAGTGAACTAATCCTTTAAAATGAAATATAAAAAAAACCTGATTTAAAATATTAATAAATACTAAAATATTATGGTAACACTTCCTTTTACTGGACAGTACTTACGTGTAGTGTACTTACCTTATTTTAGCCAGTACTTTCTAGGTAAGTACATGGGTTAGGGGTAGGTTCAGGGTTAGTATCTAGTTATTACCCAGTAATTGTAATTACTATAATAAGTACATGGGTAACAGGACTGTAAAAGGAAGCGTTACCAATATTATATACATAATATTAAAATAACTTTTTTAATGAACTAAAATCAAATATATTTATGTTGACTCAAGCATTTAATCTAATATTCAACAATATCACTGATCTGCCAGCATTGACACCATTATATGAGAACTGAACTGAGCTGGACGATGACATCACGCTTTTCTCCAGAGCGGCGATATATATAAATGAACTAAATTAATAACTTTTTCACAACAAAAATGAAACATCACTGAGCTGGACTGTGACGCTATTTTCATCTGGAAACAAACTTTGTTGCATCGTTTTCCTGTTATCTCTGAAACGATCTGTATGGTAAAAAGCGCTGTATAAATGAATGTGACTTGACTATAACATTCTTCTCTCGTTTTTCTCCCAGACTGCAGCAGGATTCCTCCCTCCTTCCCTCCGGCAGCTCTCCCGAATGTTCCTCCTCGGAGCACAACACGCTCCTCCAGGGCTCGTCCCCGCGGCGTCCCGGGAGCCCGGAGAACAGCGACTGCAGCTCGGGCACGGGGCCGAGGGGGACCGGGGCCTCCACGCCCGACATCTCCGTCAGCAGCGACAGCGAGTTCGAGTCGTGAGGAACGCCTCGTCTGGACCCCGTCAAAGCGTATAGATGCACTTAAACGAAAGACTGAGAAATCAGCTTGTGAATGGACTTCCAGATTTGACACACACACACACACACACACACACAAAAGACCAAAAGAGGAACTACGATTTCAAGACTTGAAACTGAACAGACTCGACCTCTTAAAAGGCATGTGCCAAATAAATCTCTCTTCGGGATCATTGGCTTTGTTAACCATTCAAAAACGAATACTCAGGTGGCACAAAATATGAGACATATCAAACACGGGAAATATTATGCAAATTTTGTACATGAAGTCTAGCCTAGGCCTTTCGTAGCACTACACACGTCTGTCGAACCCGTGGAAGAGAAACTGTCTGATCTTGAGAACCGGAAGGCAGAGATAACTTGCTGCTGTGTGTTTTTATTAGATTAATACGTAGAGTTACATTGCGTTGTTTTGTTTTTATGTTGTTAAATGAGGATATAAAACAGCGAACAGTTTTACACTGGAATATAACGATGTCACTCTTAGAAGAAAAGGTTCTATATGGAACCTTGAACGAGGGTTCTGTCGGGTGTTCCATACAGGTGGAACTCGGAAAACTAGAATATCGTGCAACAGCTCATGTATTTCAGTCACTCAAATTCTGAAACAAATATATTTAGTATATATAACTATATACATATGCATGATTATACTTTTCAGAGGGCTGAACATTTCTGTATTTAAAATCCTTTTTTTATTGATTTCATGTAATATTCTAAATTTTCTCAGTTTTTGAATTTGGGGTTTTGCACGATATTCTAATTTTTCAAGTTTCACCTGTGTATATATATAGAACCTTTTAGGGGTTTGAATATGGGATCATTCATTTTCTTTTCATCCTTTTTTAATTTTAATTAAATGTTATGAATTAAACAGCTTGTAAACGTACTTTATCACTAGAAAAAAAATTAAATATCCCATTAAACATAGAAGTATTATGCAATCATTGAATGCATTTCTCCATATATATATATATATATATAACCTTTTTGGCATTTAGTGTTCTTTAAAATTGAGTCTGATGTAGAATCCCAGATACGGCCCACATCCGGTACATGCGGATTCCACGCATACCAGATCTGGGCCGACACCCTGTTGCATTCTGGGTATTGAACCTTTTTTTCTAAGAGTGTAGTCTGAATGAACATCGATTTACTGACATGTCATGGAATATTAATGCTGCTGAACTTGAAATATGCTATGCTATTTCTGCTCCCCCAAAACTGTGAGGTTTTCCTCAGCTCTAAGAGAAAGTGTTTTAGTATGGTAGAAATGACACGCATCACCTCTGAATTAACCTATGCATACTTTCTGTACGCTTTCATTTCAACCAATGGCATCACTCGTCTCGGTCTGAAGTCATCTTATGTGCCTACACTTTGAGGACGACGTCAGACTGTACGATCGTCCGCTGTTTTCCGTGTTCACACCCATACTCACCGAAGATACAAGAGCGGGATTGTTTTGTTTTCATTTGTCTGTTGTTTGCAATTTTGAAATAAATGAAATTATTTTTGAAGCAAAGAGCTGTGAGCTCATTGTGGCCTTTACGGCACTCACTTACACCAACTAAATGAGCCATTGTTGAAATAATAATATGGCTTTACAAAACCTTTGAAATCACCATTTCAAGAAATAATTTAACAATAAAAGAAAATGTCATCATTTATTGACTCTCATGTCATCAGTAGAACACAAAAGCAGAAAATCTATATATTTTTCTAAAATTATATGTTTTGCACTGTTAAATATAATGTATTATCTTCTGTAAATGATAAGGAATTTATTTTACTGTATTCATTTGTTAAAAAGGCTAAACATTTTCTCAATTATGCAGCCATTCATTCTTTAAAATACCTCATTTTCAACATATTTTACAGTAATTTAAAGTCCCCCTTGCAGTCAATAATTTTGTCCCTTAAAACTCATCTTTACATATTTTAAATATTGTCATATTTTCAAAATTACATATTTTCTCCTGAGAAAATAATATCTTCCTGCCTTAAAATAGATTGAATGTTACTCTACCTTGCTTCATGAATATGCAAATGAGCCCCAATCACAGCAGCCCAGATAACCAGATCCACTCGGTAGTAAACACTACACGATAAGTAGAAATATTGGTTTAATAATTCAGATATGTTCGAAGCAGAAACTGATTCAGAAGAAGTCAGTCAATTAATGTACATTTTTGGCATTATTACATTAAATCTCATATTTTCGGAGTGTAACAGCAACGTTAACGCGTTAACATGCGAATAATTATTTCCAGTTTAACGTGTTAAAAATATTTAACTAGCGTTACATCAGCTATATGATCACGCTCTTATTCATGCAAATGCTTTGAAACCATTCAAGCACGATAAGACAAAAGAGACCGCACTGCCTGTGAATGTCTATGCGATAATGCGACACACACACAACGCACTCTTTCGTGCTTGAACAAACAATAACACATTTTTTGTCCATTTTGTCGAGTATCCTCATAAGAGCAGTCTTAAATTAGTTAAATAACGTCTTAAATTAACATAAAGAGTTCTCTCTGTCATAAATGTTCATCAAAGAGAGAAAATGACTCCCTGCTCTTGACTGAAGAACTTTTGTAGCTTCAATTAGGATTCATCTATATTTAATTCATAATTTATTCAGTGCAGACTGTTTGATAACTCAATTTCTGTATGTTTCCTACCTGTTACAGAACGGGAACAGGTAAATATGACATTTATTATGGGGTTATGTGAGGATTGTTTTAAGTTCACTTAAATTAAAAGTTTTTTGAAGCCTAATAAATGTTAGAAATACTGAAATGTTGAATGGCTATAATGTTTTTAAAAAAAATCGACATCAGTAGCAGTGATTCTGGCCTTTGGAATTCCACTTTTTATTTTACTACAAAATTATATGCATTGCTTTATTAAATATGAAATACATATTCTCAATTTTAAGGTAAACAATTATTTTTATGCATCACATTTCACCATATTTTACAGCTATTTAAATAGCATGTATTGCCTTTTAAAATGTAACTGTATGATATAAGGTGACTTACATACAGTTCACCAATGAACAGTTATTCCATTAAATGATATATTTTAGTAGTGTAGCTCATTTTTTTGCTTTGGGATTGCTCTCCTCTCAGTGAACGAGGCGGAGTCCCTCTGTTCCTCCTCAGGGAAACCGGCCCCTTTGTTTCTGACCTCACTTCAGCAGAACAGCCCGAGAGAGTGTGTGTGTGTATGTGTGTGTGTGTGTGTGTGCGCACAGCATCTGAAACACTGCGGCATGGACAGCGACGGGAGGAAAGTGGTCGTGTGTGACAATGGCACTGGGGTAAGACATTCACAAAGTGTTCTGGAAACGTCATTCATAACAGGGCTAAAACTGTACTATATAAAATTGCTGATTGAACATTTATGAAAGAACTCTATTTGTGGTTAAGTGAATGATAAAGGGAAGTTGTTTTGATTCAAAAACTGTTTAAATCGATTTGAACTTAAAGTTAAAAGAGATCTGAGAGACTTTATTTGGCAGACTTGCGTCTGCGGGCGCTGGATGCCTGACTTGCGCTCGTGCGAAGACCTGTTGCATTGCTTCAGTCTGTCTGAACACGTCTGGCCAGGAACAACACTTCACCTTAAAAGGTGGCAGGGCGAAAGATACACTGTTATTGGCCACAAATGAGGAAGTGCTTTAAACTCTGGTGTGCTTTAGTGTAAAGGTTCCTGACCTGAAATGAAAGTAGGGAAGTTGAGGGGGAGTTGAGGAAGATGCAGTTCTTCAAAACGGGCTTATCTCAAATAATACAGTCATCAAATATATACGTCCTTATAAACCTGAAATGTAAAGCAGAGCCGAGTTTGATCTTTTCTTACTACTCACTCATCATCTTCTCACACACTGTCTGCAGTTTGTCAAGTGTGGTTTCGCTGGCTCCAATTTCCCCGACCACATCTTCCCAGCCCTGGTGGGACGTCCCATCATTCGGTCAGATATAAAAGTTGGGAATATAGAGATCAAGGTGAGTTATCCGGTCAAAACAAAAAACAACGGTTCTGTATGTATATACACACACACACACACACAGTATGTATTCACACATGAAAAACTTAATATTAAATGAAATGTTGTGTTACTAACTAGCTGAAATAAATTTGTTAAAAAAAAGACAAAAACTGAAATAACACACACACGTGCGCGCACACACACACACACACACACACACACACACTATATATAAACCTAAAGGACAAACATAAAATACAAATGTGAAAAGCACATAAAATAACTGAAACTTCAACTAAAAATTTGATTCTAAACTTAAAATATAAAATAAAGGTAAATTAAAAATATGAATAAAAATATAATAGTATATAAATAATTAGAAAATAACACTGACAAACACTGTCATTTAACAAGAAACCTGTAAAAACATCTCTCATTTATTTATTAATATTTTCAAATTATTATTTAAATTATTTCTATCCCTCAGTTCCTTACTCTAAATGATCTAATAGTATATATATATATATATATATATATATATGTATAACAGTATAATGTAATTACAATAAGTAAATAATATTACATATAAAAATATAAACACTGCCATTTATGCACTACTCTAATATAGATTTATAATTCCCAAATATATAACATAAAACTTAAAATAGTTTAAGATTATTGAGAGTTGTACAATTTGATCTAAGTAAGATTCATTATTTTTGCTGCAGAAACTATATACTCAGTCTCAGAATATAGAATTAATAGAATTTATGTGTCTATGTGGTGTTTTTAATATGCTTTAAGACACACCATGTGTAAATTCATAAGTCGACAGCATTGCTGAGTATTTTCTCCTTAAAACTGCAGTGAACCAAAGACAGTCTCAAAAACACGGTGTGAAATCGCTGGTGTTTCTGACGTCACACACGACCTTGTAACCAATCAGGTCAACGTGTGATCGTCAACGAGTGGATCTCTGAGCTGAGTGAGTGAGTGGAGGCGGGGCTCATTTGCATATTCATAGAACCACGTATATTAAATGAGGAAAGGGTGTCGCGTTACATTCAAGCTATTTTAAGGCATTTCAAGGAAAGAAACGCAAAAAAAAATCATTTTGGTGATCAAAGATGAGTTTTAAGGGATAAACTGATTGTCCTCAGAGGGACTTTAATATAATTTGTTCTTGTTTAACACTGAAGTCGCCCCTCTGCCTCTCAGGACCTGATGGTGGGCGACGAGGCGAGCGAGTGCCGCTCCATGCTGGAGATCTCGTACCCCATGGAGAACGGGATGGTGCGCAGCTGGGAGGACATGCTGCACCTGTGGGACCACACGTTCGGCCCGCAGCGGCTCGACATCAGCCCCCCCGACAGCAAGGTCCTGCTGACGGAGCCGCCCCTGAACCCGGTGAAGAACCGGCAGAAGATCGCAGAGGTCATGTTCGAGACCTACCAGTTCCACGGCATCTACATCGCCATCCAGGCCGTGCTGACGCTCTACGCTCAGGGTAACGCTCGGGGTCACGGGCCCTATTTTAACCATATAAGCGCACTTAGTTCAGACTGTCAGTCCAAATCCGATTTTTATGCAAATCCGATTGGAATCTAGATATAAACCATCACTTAATACAGTCCAACTTTTTTTCGTCTTGCTATTGAACAATATGTGAAACACTTTAAGGGTCCTATTTTGAGGATCTAAGCGCATGGTCTAAAGCGCATGGGGCAAGTGCACTTAGGGCGAGAAAAATGGTCGGCGCTCCCGGCGCATGGTCTAAAAGTGTTGTCCCTATTCTCTTAGTGAGTAATGGGTGTGTTTTGGGCGTAACGTGCAACAAAAACAATCAGAGTCTCATCTCCCATTCCCTTTAAAAGCCAGTTGTGCTCGCGTCATGACGGATTCGCTATTTACATGGAGGAATTTGCAAGCGGAAAAGCTGAACGCTTCTCCAGAGAGGAAACGGATCTGCTCGTGCGCGAGGTTGAAGCGAGCGAGGAGACCATCTACGGGACAAGCCGGATTCCACCATATCTTTATGTACACAATCTTAATATTTTACATTGTAATCCTTTTATTTGTAATAGGCTATTTGGCTAGTTTGTGTGCTACTGCGCGTCCCTGTGTGTGTGTAATAAGCAGAGTGTGCGCGTGTTGTGGACCCGCCTATAGGCGCACATTACTTACGCGCTCTTTAAATAACCAAAAAATACTCCATCTTTATCTTTAGACCAGGTTTTTGTTGCTCAATGGCGCAGTTTATTTCAGTTGCCTCAAAATAGCAACGCGCCAACAATGCGCCTGAACACACACACCTTGTTTTCAGACCAGCACCAACAGATGGGCGCAAATCCATTTGCTATTTAAACAACGTGGCGCAGGACATGAAAATGATAACTGCGTCGGGCTGAAACTAGCAAGAAACACTTGCCTGACGCTGCATTGCGCGGGTGTATGATAGATTAGGGCCCAGAGTGTTGAAGATGAACGTGTGGTTGACTTGCGCTGTGTTCCCGCGGCAGGTTTGTTAACCGGTGTGGTGATCGACTCAGGAGACGGTGTGACTCACATCTGTCCCGTGTACGAGGGCTTCTCTCTGCCTCACCTCACGCGCCGGCTCGACATCGCAGGACGGGACATCACGCGCTATCTGATTAAGGTGACATTCTCCTTCTACTATCACCATGGAAACTGAGGAATGAGCAATGTTACAGATTCAGCACTTAGTTCATTCTAAAAACGACATCATTTTTTCACCCTCATGAAACCTGTTTGATTTTTTTATACTTTGGACCCCATTGACTTTCATTGTATGGCCATTTTTCAATGTTATTTTGGACACCGGTGTTTTTCAAAATATATTTTAAGTAAAAACAATAATATTGTGAAATATTATTACAGTTCTAAATAGCTGTTGTCAATTTGAATATATTGTAAAATGTAATCTATTCCTGTGATCAATAACTCCAGTGTGTCACATGATCCTTCAGAAATCATTCTGATATGATGATTTGATTTGACACATTTGTGATTAATATCAGTGTTGAAAACAGTTCATATTTTTGTGGAAACTGTGATACTGTCATTTTTGGGTGAACTAACCATTTCAACTTCTATTGAACCTGGAAATTTTGTTAAACTGTCTATTTTTTGGACTCATTTCTTAAAATGGATCAAAATCTAGATATAGAATCACTGTATTATTTATAAATAAATAAAAAGATCAATCAAGAGCAAGTGTTAGCAATTATCAGTTGTGGTCTGGTTAAAAAGAAATGACCAAAAAGAGTCATCTAGAATTGTTGAAATGCTGATATTCTGTTTATTCAGCTTTTGCTTATGCGAGGCTACGTCTTCAACCACACGGCAGACTTCGAGACGGTGCGGATGATGAAGGAGAAACTGTGTTTTGTCGGATACAACATCGAGCAGGAACAGAAGCTGGCCAATGAGACCACCGTCCTGGTGGAGTCCTACACGGTAATACACATACAGCTCAGGAAAATGAAGCCGGAAACAAGTCACACACAAAGTACACCTATGGACAGGTTGCATGAACAAAACTGAGCAAAGTTTGGTATAGTGTGTTTCCATTTAAAAGTCTTGAGGCAAAACAATCGTTTTCTTATTGCATATGCATTTAATTTTTTCAATTGTCAATCAATGTCACTCACTTCTAGTGATGGGAGAAACGAAGCTTTTCGAAACACTGAATCAATTGAACCGATTGCTTTGCAAAATGATTCACTGGTTCGAAGCGCTCGAAACGCCGCACGCCGGCGACACCTGCTGGTCAAAACTGTGTAAATGCAGGGAAAACAGCCTCATAAAAACACCTTTTACAAACCAATCGCAAATGTTTTCTTGAAAGATTAAGCTATCAAATGGAATATACAAATCATCAAATACCATTAAACATGAAGTGTCTGTATTATTTGTGTTTTTTGTGTGTTTTATAAAGGGCGTGGTTAGTCAGGCCAATAAAAGACGATCAACTCTACTCTTCTTTTTTATCACACAATGTGTCATTCCTCATTACAAAAGTCTAAAACTTTATATAAAACTGATCAGAGATCAGATAAAAACCATATAGTCGAACCATTAAAATGTCGAAACCTTCGAACCGGTTATGAGTTAACGAAGCCTTGTTTACTACCTTGTAACCAATCAGATCAACGTGTGATCGCCAACGAGTGGCCAGGCTCATTTGCATATTCATTGAACCGCGCATACTAAATGAGGAAAGGGTGTCGAGTTACATTCTAGTTATTTTAAGGCATTTAGAATTTTTTTTTAAGGAAAAAACTTGTCAATATATCATTTTGGTGATAAAAGATTAGTTTTAAGAGATAAAATGTTTGGGACTTTAACAGATTATAGAGCAACAACAAAAAAAAAAAACTAGGGTGAGGATGTGGACTTAAAACTTGACTGCCTTCCTCACAGCATATAAAAGATTTTACTGACCTTTCCCGCCCGCAGTTACCAGATGGACGGATGATAATGGTGGGAGGCGAGAGGTTCGGAGCAGCGGAGGCTCTTTTCCAGCCTCATCTCATTAACGTGGAGGGAGTCGGAGTGGCCGAGCTGGTCTTCAACACCATCCAGGCGGCGGACATCGACCTCAGGTCAGAACAATTCAACACTAGAGTCAATTAGGAGACGTTTATTGCCTGAGCTCTGAGCAAATCTTATAGCCAGTAACTGGGCAGATTTGTTCTGCAAATGTTTTTCAACTAACAAGTTAGGAGACATTTTTAAGGAAGCTTGTTTCTGCCACAGAACAAAAAAAATGTAAAAAAAATCTTTTTTTTCTCACAATTAAGAGTTTACATCAGAATTGTGCGCTATAAACTCGTAGCTGCTAGTTATAAAGTCAGAATTGCGAGATATAAACTCGAAATTGTGAGAAGAAACGTCAGTCTTTTTTCCTCACAGAATTGGACTTTAAATCTCGCTACTGCAAATTAATATCTCACAATTCTGAAAAAAAGAATTGCGACAAAATTTGCAATTATCTTTTAAACTTTTATTCCGTGCTGGAAACAAGCTTCCATACATTTCCATCTACACTGAAGAAAGAAAAATCTGTACTTGGTGTTTTCGTCTTGTTTTCCAGTACAAATATCGCAAAACATTCTTAATTCAATATACATTTACTTGACTAAAACATAAGAATACCATAGGCCTAATGTGTTTGCAGATATTTGAGAAACATGCTAAGTTCATTTACAGCCTGAAATTCTACTTTGAAATGCGCGTTCTGTGTCCGTGGTTTGGTGTAAAAAGTAAATGTACCTTGATTAACCATCGGCTTTTTGACCGAAAAATTTTACGTTTGGTTTTTTTTTTTTTACTTAATCAAATTGGTGTGAAACTTGGTACAGGTTTTGGCGCTTGCTATGTGAACACGCACACACACACACACAAAAAAGGTCCTGAAAAATTAGTCACGCTTGTATTGTTCGTGGTTATTAATGAATGGGAGGGAATTTCCCCTATTGGACACGTTTGGTACTGCAGCCAAACAAATTCTCACTGAAAGCTCATGTTTTGAGATACCAACCTCAAATTTGGACCGCAACTTGTTTAGATTTATTGGTTTGATTTTCTCACAGTTTTAGAGTAAAACGTGTTTTGGAAAATTAATATTTAATATAAAAATTGAAAATGGTATTTTTGTGCATTTTTCATAACAATAACTTTTTTTTTCAAGTTCAGTTTTTTTAAACGTTTTTTTCACTTCAGCTATTAATAATCTGCCACGTGTCTTCTTTAAAAAGAGACCAAACTTCAGTCTGTGCTCCAAAGAATTCAAGATTTATGACTGTTTAAGCTGGAAATTTAATTTTCAGGTCAATGCTCAAAAAAGTGAATAAATGGATTATAAATACAGCATAAATATAATTTAATACCATAAAATCTCCTAAAAAATACTAAATATTAAATAAAAAACATTATCAGACTAAAATAAAGTACAATCATTTCATTTAAAAAAAAAAGAAACGAAATATTAAGTCATTTTTTGACCAACACTCGGGAAGTTAAGAATATTTCGATACTTGTACTGGAAAATAAGACAAAAACAATATATATTATATTTTTGTTGCTGTGCAAGAGCTTCTGAAGAGACTTTGCTCAGCACAGCGATGCTTTTATTACAGGAATATTCCAGGTTGAAGTCATTTCTTCTGAGGTCACCTACAGTTGTTTCTGATAGAAATGAAATTGGTTTCCAGCTGAACTGTTCCTTCAAGGGTGTCTGTGAGCTTCATGTCTCACTGTCCACCTGCAGGTCGGACTTCTACAAGCACATCGTCTTGTCCGGAGGAACCACCATGTACCCGGGGCTGCCGTCCCGTCTGGAGCGAGAGATCAAGCAGCTGTATCTGGAGAGAGTGCTGAAGGGAGACACTGACAAACTCTCTGTAAGCCCTGACGCTAATGCTAACTCCTATGCTAGGATCTCTTTCTCCCTGCAAAAACATCTTAAAACAAGATACATTCACACGAGAATCAAACATATGTGAAATATTAAGACTTCATGTTTAAAGTTAGCAGCTTATTTCTATTATTTGCGCTTGTTTTAAGCATGAAACTCAAATTTGCTTGATTTGTGCTAAAAACAAGAAAAAAGTAATTGCCAGTGCTGTACAGTTTTTGTTATTGTTAACTAAAACTATTACAATTAAGACATTTTTGGTCATGTAAATAAAGCTCAAATCAAATATAAATATTAGATGGAAAACTTCAACTTCAACAAAAAACCTAAAAGAAAATATTGCTTTGGAAACTAACTGAAATAAATGTTCATAGATAGAAATATAATTACTTAGATTACCGAAACTTAAATAAACAAGTTTTAAATTAATAAATAAAATATGTAATATAAATAATATAATAATATAAATAATTTATTAAATAAATAAGGTTTTTATTTAAACCTTAAAATAAAACTATAGATGTTTAAAAGAAAACAAATACCAATAAAATGATACTAAAAAGCATAATACATAATAAAAGCACAATAACAAAATTACAAAAAAACCTGAAAATAAATATTAAAATAAAAGGTTATTCAAAATATTAATAAATACTATAATAGTATATAAATAATACTGAAATAAAATAAATAATAAAACTTAATTCAAGAATTCGCTGAAAAGTCTTAAAATCACATGCAAGTAAATTTATCTTGTAAAATAAAATGACTTTTATCGTGATATAAGATTCATATAATTCAATATACAGTATGTGAAAACTATTGACTGATTACTTTTTTTCCCCTTTTTTTTTTAACCACGCCCTAATAATCAGAATCCAAAATCCATGATTGTTTGACCTCTGGAAAAAAGGCACTTTTCCAAAACTAATTTTTGTGTATAAAACATCGCTACATGAGGCCCCAGGCGACCCGTTTTCATCACAACGGCCTTTGAAAAGCAAGAGTGCTGGTGCTAACATGTAAAGAAACTGGCACACATAAAGTAACCTTTAAATATTGTGTATTCAAAACAGATAGGCTACATGTCAGAAATGCAGCTTGTGAATTAGTTTTAAATGACTTTTTCTTTCTTGCTGTTTTCTCTCTTTTACCACAGAAATTTAAAATCCGCATCGAAGACCCTCCGCGCCGCAAACACATGGTGTTCATGGGTGGTGCAGTGCTGGCCAACATCATGAAAGATAAAGAGTCTTTCTGGCTGTCGCGAGCCGAGTATGAGGAGAAAGGCCTAAAGGTGCTGGACAAACTGGGAGCGGTGCTGGGATGAGCGTCGGCACCAAAACCAGTCACTCTAACCTCTTCATGCATGTTCCCATTCATATCTATTGCTATTATAAAAAAAACAAAAACATTTTAATTACTACATCTAATCCTAAAAAAGACTCAAACACTAAATAAGGACATATCATAGACGTCTGATGCGTTTATAAAGGCTTATTATAGGTTTGGAGACGTTTAGTGACGTTTATTCCAGCAATTTAGCCCCCAAAGTACATACAAGTAACTAAAGTCGACATGAAACCGAGTTGCGATGGTCTTTTCTTCCCTATTGTGACGTATATCCGAGTGAAAACGCTTAACAAACAAGAACAAATGTAGGCGGGGCTTGATTTTGTCTGGGGGGGGATTTGATTGGATGGGTGTGGTTTGCTATTGGTGGATCTCATGTGATTGACAGGTTGCCCCGCCTTCGTCATCAGAGAAGAGATAAATCGTATTATATCATAATATACTGCAATAAAAAAATAAGTATTGTCCATTTTGATTTCATGGTGACTTTAACAAGCTATCTAAATGGAAATAGATACTAAGATGACATACTATAGACTTGATATCATATCTATTATTTGAAATAAGTTTGAATACGTCTCATCTTCGCTATTTATGAACTATTTATCCCTCTGAACAAGTTTCCCAGGAAGTTTAGTAAAAAATTAGGGCTGTAAAACGATTAATCACGATTAATCGCATCCAAAATAAAAGTGTTGTGTTTACATAATATATGTGTGTGTACTGTGTATAATTATTTTGTATATAAATGCACACATGTATATATTTATATGTTATTTATATATAAAATGTTTATATTTATATAAAATATACATTATATATAGGCTACATTCAGTCTAGATACAGTATATACATGCAAATATTTCTTAAATACACATGCATGTGGGTATTTATGTATTAAAAATAATTATACACCGTACACACACATATATTATGTAAACACAAACTATTATTTTGGATGCGATTAATCGCGATTAATCGTTTGACAGCCCTATAAAAAACTAAATTCTGGGGACTTTTATACAAAGCAAGTTTGTCCTCCATGTATAAACTTTGAAACGCATCATCTGCACACACAAATACAAATATATATGACAAAAATTGCAAATTGAAACTATAGAAATCAAGATATTTGACTTGGCCTATTTTTACAGATTTTAAAACTGAATAAAAATCATGTGTTGAGAATGAATATTTCTATTTATTAAATTTAACTGTTGATCCAAAGCAAGAAAAGAGCCTCAAATCAACATTACACTTGATTACTAAGTTGCTGCTGCCATCTAGAGGACTACACACTTACTAATGTTCAGGTCGATGCGAGTGTGTTGAACCGCAAAACACCAAAACAATAATCCATAATCGCCAACTAACAGCTCCAGAGAGACAGATAGCATTCATATAGGAGTTTAATTCTGCATGTCAGTGAACAAGCGTACAGCACCGTTCTCTAGGCAGCAAACATTCAGAGAAATTAATCTGAGCGTGATGTCATATGAAGCATATTGTTCATCCATGCATCACAATGAAGCGCATCACAAACGAACGCATGCATCGGTCAAGAGTTCAACTGATCCAGCAATAAAAAGCATCAAAACTCAACGGAAGTCATAATCAGAGCCCCATGTAGAATAAGCATTACATTTATAGTTATACAATTCACTGTAGAAAGGAAATATTTCAATGTCACATTCAGAGTCAAAGTGAAATAGCATTTGATGGAACAGTCGTTTGGCGGGACATTCGCAGGAAACGCTGCCATGTGATGTTTTTACCACAGGAACCTATTAAAATTACTTTATTTAATTATTCATTAGTATCAATTAAACATCAGACACTTGTGCACTGATGTTTAAACCTGAATAAACCTGTGACTATATATAATTTTGATGTTGTAAGGCACACAAAGTTAGTGATACTACCAAAATGTACCAGAATTATCTATATTATCTATTCAACTTAAAAGTATAGATACTCAGTGTAACATGTCCCAATTAATGAAGCCTTTTACGGTTACAGTTTGTAACAATTAATAATATTTGTACTTATTTGTACATATTTTACATTGGGGTAATAGTTTAAAGTGCCCCCATTATGCTATTTTAAAGATTTAGACTTCTACAATCATTTTCTCGTAATATACAGTCAGTGTAGCATCAGCAGCGTCTGAAACGCTTCGATTGAAGATTCAGTGTCTAAACCCCGCCTTTCGTGAGCTTCCTCTGCTCTGATTGGTCCGATCTGTTGTGATTGATTGACAGCTTACAGCGTGTGTCGGACACCAAGCGGCCATTAACAGTGCAACAGTCGCGTTCTGGAAGTAAAAACGCATTAATTTTCTCCATAAGGAAACAGATTTTTAACTTATAAACCTTAAAACCCCTACTGTGAGCTACGAGGCTGTTAACACATCGCGTTTGATACGCCAAAGCCATATTATTTCAACTTAAGTTTTAAAATAATCGTGTTTAACAGCACAATTTGTGGGATTGGGATTGATACACTTCTGATACGAACAGTAATTGGCAGTGGTTTAACCCCCTATTTATGGTCAATATATTGGTATTTATATATTTTGTTTTGGAGTCTCCTATATAGATCCAAGGTCAAAAAACACAAATAATTCCCATAATATATATTGCATTATCACCACTTTCTCACAGACTGAATCTTTGATCAAACCGCTTCAGACACTCTCTAAACCCCGCCTTTCGAGAGCTTCCTCTGCTTTGATTGGTCAGACGGCTCAGTGCGTTGTGATTGGTTGACCTCTTACAGCAGATCTTCCTCAGCACTTGATACACAGTGAAATGAACAGTAAACTATGGCGGCGTTTTACCGTGCATATTGCATTTATTGCATAGTATTATGCAATTTTTTTTTACAAACAGGAAGTAAGAAATTACGATTCGTTTCAGACACGTCAGAATCAGTTTTTTCTTTTAGAGAAAATAACTCAATTTATCGATCACTTTGATCTTTTTACATTCAGAACTTTTACATTCACAAACAGCTATATCCAGAAAAGCATAATACGGGCACTTTAATAAAACAAAATCCTGAATCTATCGGCCACAAATGGCAGCGTTTCCTGCTGATGACTCTGGCTTAAAACTAAAACCTGTCAATGAAATACTGAAGCTTGACACTTGATGGCCATTTTGAGAATCAGCCTCCTCTCTTCAAACCAAGAGGGAAATTCCTTCCGACTTAACAAAATTTGCTTTCCAGTATGAGTTGAATTGTGGGCAGGCATAATTCAGATCCTGACAGTGTTTATGTGTTTATCTGCCCACCGTGAGGAGAAAGCAGAGCTGTGCATTCAGCGAGCGTGACGTGATACACTTCAGCCAAACACAGCTTGTTTCTTTGGAGTCTATTTACATGAAGTATTCACAAATGATCATGATGGCACATGTTCACTACATTCTTCAAACACTGAAATAGTCTGCTTTCTGAAGGATATTATAAGGAATAAATCAAATAAACACAAATATCAGGCCAGTGGTGATTCAATGATCCACGATGTTCATTCAGTTAATGTTCAGCTAACAAAATAGCCAGTGCAGTTCAAGTAAAACTCATAAGAGTACCAGAAGCAGACTGTAGTACAGCAGTGTTACCGCAAAACTCACTATATACTCAAACCTTCACACTCCATACTTACACTGTGTTTACACCGGAAGCGCGTCTGTTGTCTACACTGGAAATGTCAAAGCTGCACATCGGCTCATAACCAAATAAGCTACAGTATATTTGCATTTTGTTAAATTTTTTTGTTTATTAAATATACACTAGCGTTCAAAGGTTCGGGGGTCGGTACGATTTTTTGAAAAAGAAATTAATACTTCTATTCAGCAAGGATGCATTAAATTGATCAAAAGTGACAGTAAAGACATTTATAATGTTAAAAAAAATTATATTATAAATAAATGCTTTTTTGAACTTTCTATTCATCAAAGAATCCTGAAAAAAATGTATCATTAGCTGTTAACTCAAATTTTTTTCTTTTTTTTTACTGTTTTCAAAATTAATAAAAATAAGACATTTTTATTAATGTTTTTACTGTGTTTTTGAACAGTAGTGTATACAACAGAAATTCACTGCTGTAAAATGTACTAATATATATTTACATAGATGATATTTGCCTATTTTACTTTATTAAAAATATATTAATCAGCATTACAATGAAGTTTTGCATGTTATCAAGCACAATTTAAGTTGTAATAGAGCTTTATGGCGCTTCACATGCACAAATGTGCTCATTTTGCTGATTAGTGGCTTAGAAAATGGATTATTTTTTTTACATCATAACCTTACATAATATATATATATATGTGTGTGTATATAATATACACAAACATACATTTTTTTAATCGTCGGCATCGGCCAATACGATTCTCTGTTTGGCCGATGTGTCGGAAAGCGGGACTTTTATTTTGACAGCGCCACGAACGCCACAGAACTCCCATTTCCTTCTTCATTAGATTACGGTCTCGGTTTAACAGTTCTGTCTAATACTTTATTATTATTATTATCGGCTTCGGCCATCAGTCACCCCGCATCGGCCATCAAAAAAATCATCATCAGTCGAGCACTACTTTTGGATCCTAGTGTAAAATTAAATAAAATGAACAGCAACCAATTCAAATACGATATTTATATATATATATATATTTTAAAAAATCAGATGAACGAAAGAAATAAAGTGGCTGCAGTAATGTGTCAAAAACAGAAGGTGCGTCGCGACACACTTCCAGTGCAAACGGCTCCAGTGATTATAACAGGAGCGATTTAATGCAACACATCCAGTGTAGATACAGTGTCGATACTCAGAGCATGTGTACATATGATTGTTTAAACATATATATTTTTATTAGGTTTTTTTGTATTATGTTCAACACTTTGGTATTACTCTGCAATACACACCTCTGCAAGCCAATCAAAAAGTGACAGCTGAATCTCAGCGTTTCCAGATCTCCTGTTTGGCAGATATTGCTTTTTGCATTATTACCAAGTATCTCCTTCTTAATGCTATTGTGCTTTCTGTTTACACCCAACACAAACAAAAATAATCACCATCATCCATAGAACTGAACACATATACCGCATTCAAATACTGTGTGACATCCATAAAACCTCTAGCCACGATTGTGACAAAGTCATATTGTGCACCTGCTTCTCCTCACTCCTCACACACGGACTCTCCCAGGTCCACAGCGCCCCCTCGGGTGAGTCTGCGCATCTTGCTGAAGTCGTGATCGCAGCGCAGGAAGGACAGGGACGCTCCCTCCTGCGAGCCCAGCTGATGGGGCTGAACGTGGGCCGGGAGAGGACACATCTCCCCGTCACTCCTCCAGAACAGACAGTAGTGCTGCGGCTCGCTCACGCCGAACACACCCGCGCAGGATTGGGTCAGAGCGTCGACGCTTTCGCCCGCCTTCCAGAGGAGAGTCCGCACTGCACTGCGACTCTCACCCTGGAACAGCACACGGATGAACCTCTGCACACACACGGGGAACGCAGTTAGGGGTGGATTAGATTTAATTAAATAAACAATAACTTGATTTAGATGGATGGATGGACAGGCAGATAGATAGATGGATGGATGGATGGATGGATAGATAGATGGATGAACAGGCAGATAGATAGACAGACAGACAGATAGACAGATAGATAGATAGACAGGCAGACAGACAGACGGATAGACGGATAGTTGGATGGATGGATGGACGGACAGGCAGATAGATAGATAGATGGATAGATGGATAGATAGACAGACAGACAGACGGATAGACGGATAGTTGGACGGACGGACGGACGGATGGACGGATGGATGGATACTAGATAGATAGATAGATAGATAGATAGATAGATAGATAGATAGATAGATAGATAGATAGATAGATAGATGGATGGATGGACAGGCGGATGGATGGATGGATGGATGGATGGATGGATGGATGGACAGGCGGATGGATGGATGGATGGATGGATGGATGGATGGATGGATGGATGGATGGATGGATGGATGGATGGATAGATAGATAGATAGATAGATAGATAGATAGATAGATAGATAGATAGATAGATAGATAGATAGATAGATAGATGGACAGGCGGATGGATGGATGGATGGATAGATAGATAGATAGATAGATAGATAGATAGATAGATAGATAGATAGATAGATAGATAGATAGATAGATAAGCAGACAGATGATAGAAGATAAATCTGTGCATACCATTCAAAAAAATTTTTTTAATAAAATATTTAAATTTCTTATTGTTTCTAATAATGTAAACAAGCAGAAAAATATATTAATTTATAATATGTAACTTGACATGTTTTAGCCCTTCACAATCCAGCCAAACCTCCGATAAAATTACATTATTCCCTGCTGAATAGTCTGTTAAAATCACAAATTTGTCACATTATATCACTATACAATTGTTTTGGATGTACTGTCCCTATAAAAGTTGTTTCCTGATAATCAAATAAATAGTGAAATAAGCCTGCACAGAAGAAATATCCACAAAAATAAATGACTAAATATAAAATGGATTGTGTATTATATACATACATATTCACAGTAACACGATCTGTGTGTGTTTGCATGTTGTTTTCAACCTGTTTCTGCTGACTGTCCTTCTGGGTCTTGGCTTCTTGGCCCCGCCTCCTGCTCCACTCCCGCAAGTACTCTTGAGCCTCATTGGTCAGAGTGCAGGTGGGCGTGGTCCCAGGCTTGTTCTGGATCAGGCATAGGCTGGCATACACGCTCGTCAAATAGTATCCACCTACAAACAAACAACCATGAAAACTGCTCAGTTTGGGGACATACAAACACCCTGTACATCCCGCCTGCAAAAAGACAATGTACTTAAATTACTCATAAACCATTAAGAATGATGCTATACATGATATATATATTATACATATATATAAAACATCCAAAACAATTTACTTTTGTATTATAATGTGACAAAATAACGTGGCAAATCTATAATATATGCATAAATCTGTATATAAATAGATTTAGAGTGTAGGTAGATCAACTCGATTACATAATTCATAAAACTTCATGCGAATGTGTGGTCGTTGCTGGGTTTCCATGGTAACAGCAACTTCTGATTGCTGTTACTCTGTTCAGGTAGTGTAGTTCTTCACAGGGAATTTGGCTGCTGAAGTTAATGAAGATAAATGATAAATGAAGTGGAAATCACACACACTTGTGGCTCAGAGCTCATGGTAGACCGTCTCGCAAGATTCGTGTATTATTGCTAAAAATCAAGATTAAAGTTTTTTGGCTAAAGGTTTATTTTTCAATTAAACCTTTTTGATTTACAAATGAATACAATATTTGTCATTTATAATAGCATATGCATTTTCCTCCCAGTCTTGTCTGCGATTCTCATATCTGTGAAGGATACATTTGATACCTGTTATATTACAAGTTATCGTACACAGTAGCATAAATGTGCCACCTAGTTTTTGACACAACCTTCACTTTAAAAGTAACTAGAGTTTTAAAAGAGGCCATATTATGGCCTTTTACAAACTCTTGATGTTGTTTTTGGACTCTACTAGAAGAGGTTTTTTAATACTTAAATGTTCAAAAAACACTCTATATTTGATATTGTTGCAGCACCTCTTTTCCCAGTCTGTCAGTAACGCTCTGTTTAGTTCCTGTCACTAGACTAGTGTGCTCTGATTGGTCGGCTGGACCAGTGTGCTCTGATTGGGCGGCTGGATCAGTGTGCTCTGATTGGGCGGCTGGACCAGTGTGCTCTGATTGGGCGGCTGGACCAGTGTGTTGTGATTGGGCGGCTGGACCAGTGTGCTCTGATTGGGCGGCTGGACCAGTGTGCTCTGATTGGTCGGCTGGACCAGTGTGCTCTGATTGGGCGGCTGGACCAGTATGCTCTGATTGGGCGGCTGGACCAGTGTGCTCTGATTGGGCGGCTGGACCAGTGTGCTCTGATTGGTCGGCTGGACCAGTGTGCTCTGATTGGGCGGCTGGACCAGTATGCTCTGATTGGGCGGCTGGACCAGTGTGCTCTGATTGGGCGGCTGGACCAGTATGCTCTGATTGGGCGGCTGGACCAGTGTGCTCTGATTGGTCGGCTGGACCAGTGTGCTCTGATTGGGCGGCTGGACCAGTATGCTCTGATTGGGCGGCTGGACCAGTGTGCTCTGATTGGGCGGCTGGACCAGTATGCTCTGATTGGGCGGCTGGACCAGTGTGCTCTGATTGGTCAGCTGGACCAGTGTGTTGTGATTGGTCAAGTGCATTGAGAGTGTTTGGGAAATGCCCCGCCTCTTTCCACACACCACGAGTTTCAACACACTACAAACTTACTCAACCAGGCCCCACCCCTTTATTTTGCTAATTAATTATTTAAATTATGAATATTGTCACATGTTCGTTTCCGGAAGAAAACTCAAGACTACAATGGAGGCATTTCAGGGAGTTGAAACAGTGACACTGATGTAGAGAATAACTCCCGCTAGAGGGACTTTGTGCTTTGTAACTTTTTCATGCTCAAACAGCAACATTACACACTAAAGAAAGACGAACGTGTAAAAAAGCAAAATAGGTCCTCTTTAAACAGAGTCTGTGTGTTTTTGTTGTTGAGGTGAATTCTCCTTTACCCTCTCCGGTCAGCCATGCCGGCTCAAGCAGCTCCATCATGTACTCCGTCTCCAGCAGCAGTTGTGGGACATTACATTGAACAAGCACGTAGGACAGTGCCGGTAGGAAATCCTCAGACCCCACTTCCTGATCTGCAGAGGAAATGAGGAAAAGTCTTAACTTTAACTTTGCCCTATACCTAATGACAAACCAGTTTCTAAATCTTTTCTCACCTGGTTGCGTCTCCATAGCCTTGTACACACTCTTGCACACCTGCAGCAAAAGCAACACCTTGTCAATGGGCGAATGGCTGCGCTGCATCAGCGTGAGCTTTGCCTTCGCTCGGTCTATACCACGAACGTCCAGGACTCCCACTCGCACAGCCAGGCGCTCCAGCGCCCCCTCCTGGTAGGCCAGCAAGCTGTCCGTGATCCTCCGTAAAGAGCCGTCCTGAGTGTGGAGAGATACGAGCGTCTGGTGCAGCTGAATCTTCAACGGCTTCAACACGCAGCCAAACAGAGCCTTTTCCAGGGCTAGATCTGAGGGTCACATGACAGGAAAGGAAAGTGCACTTTAAAATCTGAAATTATATTTCTAAATCATCCCTGTGAATGGTTATTTCAGGCTCTTTCTGGTGTCATTGTGCAATTTACAGTGTTTACTGGCTTTATATGGGCTTAACTGCCCCGGATTTGAAATATTGGTTTGTGATGTAACTTTTTATAGGCAAGGTTAGTGATTTTAAATGTTTTCCACACAAAGTGTGTCTGTGGAAGTGAACATGCAGCCACTGAGCAGCTTGGCGAAAATAAACAAGCTCTGTTCAATGGAAAATTAATGTTTGTACAGTAGAAGAAAGAGCCAGATACATTATAGCAAAACAGGAAAATCTGTGCACTGTGCAAAATCACCTCCCCATCCCTCCTTCTATCTCTGCTCTCTCTCTCCACACGCTTCCTAAAGTATGCGTGGGAATGTGCAATGTGCTAATGATAAATGCAAAGTGGAAAACGCGAATGCCTCCACCAACATCTGAAACAGCATCCATCCCCAGGGATGTGGCCGGATTTCTTGCTTTGATTTGGGGGAGATATCTCATAATCAGCTCATAATCCCAGCTATGCAGGGTTATGAAAGATTGGATGTTTTTATTTGAGTGTCCGTGATTGTTCTGCAGTATAAAATAGATCTACGGTAACTTACACTTGTGTCTTAACCAATGCCGTACTGCATACACGTGAACGTATTTTTTAAGGAACATATTTGGTAATATATAAATCTTTACAAGTGCATCAGAGAACGTGAGTTATACTTTTACAGCAAAACTGCATTACATCTGTGTTAATAAAAGCTGTATGTACTGTAACAGTGCAATTCAAACATAAAAACTATTTTCCAGAAATTCAATATATCAAAGGATTCTAGGAAACCAATCACATCTTTTATCCACTCCAAAGGTTTTACAGTTTTTAAAACCAACTGATTGGATTCAGTGATGCAATCCATAGTGTTGCGTCATTTACTTCCTGTAAAATCCTTATTGGTGTTTGCCAAGTCAAGCATCACAGTTAATATTGCTCAAACTAAGGGTTTAAACTAACTCCTAGTGTATCCTGTCGTATTAAACTCTTGTGTAACTTAACAGCCCTGTTTGAACTGTAAACAAGACCTGAATTATGTTTTGCAAAATCAGACTTCCTACATTTATTAAAAGAAGGACCCGAGTCAAATGAAAAGACACTGCAGGTCTTAATGCCAAATTCTGATTTGTTGACTATATATAACACGATTACATCTTCTTTTAAAAGTGACCCATGCATTTACACTATAAACTTGGCGAATCAACCCAAGGTAGACGTACTGACCCGGAAAAGGCCGATAAGGAAGTAAAAAACAGCACGATTTACAATGGATGCAGATGAAATAATACAAGCTTTTGCTTTCCGCACCATCTTTAAAGGGGAGCAAAACATTGGGTGGAGTCTTTATCCTCCATTGTGCCATTGAAAAGATTCATGTGATCACGGTTGGTGTCCACCTGAGTTGGCGTCATTCGTCACCATCGCTTTTTCAATGACATACGACTCGCATTTACAGGGTCTGTCCGCTTACATGGCAGATGCACGTATCTGATTCACGTTCGTGGGTTTTATCGGATCTGGGAGGAAAAAAAATTGTTGTAAATGCAGCCATAGAGACTTAGGGCAATCATCCACGAACCACCCAGGGCATCCTAGCAATGTTCTGCCAACCACTCACAAAACCTTAGCATTGTGGTGCCAACTTGTGTAACTACCAGTAACATTTTTTTCAACAAGAATAAAAAAGGTCTATTTTCATTAATATTTACTTCTATATTACTGGTTAAAAGTGGGGGTGTTGTGGCCTAGTGGCTGCTGTGCTGGAGGCCAAAAGTTTGGAGGTTTGATTTACACTGGATGCAAGATATACACTTTATAAGTTCATACACTGAACTTAATAACCTTGGCGTTGCTAGTGTCTGCTCTACTGTTTGAGCTACAGGAACTACTGTATCAGCAATGTGTCATTGTTCGAGTGTTGCCTTCTTACCTTTCTCGTTCTCAGGCACCAGTGTCTCAATTGGAGGTTCTATTTCTCCTGCTTCAAGAAGGAGATTTTTGGCTTGGGACAGAAATATCCTCAAGCCCTGAAGCAGCTCCACAGCAGAACTATACGTTGAGGCCTCCATCTCCTGCCTCTGTTTCTCTAAGAAGTCCTGCACCAATGACCCAAACGTGGAGCGTTTTTCATGGGAGAGTTCGTCCACCAATCGGGCAACTCGGCGCTCAGGAGCAAACACGCATACAAAGGCAGCGGTCATGCGGCGTAGAGTCGAGGTCGGGTTCGCTGAGGGGAAACGGGTCCCACGTGCCGCAGGCGGCCATTGGTGGGCAAAGTCCTGGGCTTCCTCCTCCTCCAGGCTGCTGAAAGAACTATTGCTGTCCAGTTCAGCAAGGGAAGGAGCTCGGGTTCTTTCCAAAGCGAGACACACCTCACCATCGTCAGTGTCTTTGTTGAGTTCAGCGTTGTCTCTTTGGGGTAAGGAGTTACTCTAGAGAACCACATGATGTGGAAGGGGGTAAGGTAAAAAAAACAATGTTAATTTTAGAACATAGCACTACTATTTTCAAACAGGCATCACGATCACGACCTTCCAGAACCACAGTGCAGTGTAGGCACAGTATGTGGAATATCATTATATTGGATGTAGGAGGCAGTTAACTAGTAAAGGTTATATTTGTGCTGACCTCTCTCCACCCGCGCTATCTTCAGCACAGTTGCGTAGAGACCATGATTTAGCCAAGTAGGATGTGCTCCTGTTCCATTTTTTGTTGGCCCTGAAATGTTATTGTACATCGAAGACACTCATAACCCTTCCCATATGCCTATAACTATTACCTAGCCTTAACCTGGGAGGGAAATGAGGGGTTGATAAGAATTTGGTTCGACCCCATAAGCCAACGGGTGCTCCAGGAGGGCTACCATCCTGTAGTCTAACTCAAACCCTAATCAAACACACCTGAACCAGCTAATCAAGGTGTTCAGGACTACTTGAAAATGAACAGCTAGAAATAAAGTCTGCAGAAAAGTAGCCCTCCAGGAGCATGATCGGTTACCCCTGCCATATCCCACCCCAAAGCCTAACCAATGTGTGTCCAATCCAGCTCCTGGAGGGCCACTTTCCTGCAGAGTTTAGCTCTAACACACTTGTCTGAAAGTTTCTAGTGATCCTGAAGACCTTGAAGATCCTGAGTGGTTCAGGTCTAGCGCTAAATACTGCAGGAATGAAGCCCTCCAGGAGCAGGATTGAACACCTCTTGCATAACCTCTTACATATACCTAAAATCTAATTGGATGATTGGTCCAGTACGAACAAGAACACTGATCCAGAAATGTGTCCTACTATCAAAAAGCATGGAAAGTCACATGGGTATGGTGACTATGATTTAGCCAATTAAATGTGCCAACTTTTCTGTCAAGCTAACATAGTCCTAACCCTAAGCTCAACCTCAACTTCAACCATTAACAAGACCTAAAGTCAGAGGGAAATCTTAAATTGATTATGTTGTTTAGAGATCCCAATCCAGCTGTGTCCAATCCTGTTTCTGGAGGTCCACCTTCTAGCAGAGTTTAGCTCTAACCCTAATTAGACACACCTAAACAAGGAGCACTAAAACTTCCAGGCAGGTTTATTGGAGCTAAATTCCCTTCCAGGAGCAGGATTGGACACGCCTGTCCTAATCTCCACCTTTAGCCAAAACCTAATCCTAATGTTTTCCAGGGACCAGCAAGTATGTTGGTTCAGGAGAATGCCCTACTTGAAAAAAAAAACTCAGTCAGCCAAGGGTCCACATACTTACGGGTGGTATCTGTCCCAACATCTGTTCGTCCTCCTCTACTGAAGTGGGAGTGAGTGCCGGAGTCCTCCTGAGCACGCTCAATCCTCCTGTCCGTCTCGGTCCGCCCCGGTTGGCAATTTGCTCATGTGTCTCCCCCTGGGTTAGGTCCGATTCTCCACCTGACAGGCTGAGAGAGGTTTCATTGGACACACGGACCCTGAGGCTGCGTTTGAAGCGGTGGCGTTTGTGTGAGGCGGTTCGGCTGGGTTGGGGAGGCTGAAGGAACAGGGGATTGACAAAACATGGGCTGATCAATCTGGATGTCCGGTGGGGCGCTGAGGGCGGAGGGGGACCGTTAGGAAGGCCAGGGGACGTCTGAGAGCTCCAGAACTCTGAAAGAGCCATGGAAGGTTGCAAAGAGTGAAAATGAAATGGAAAACACAATTGCACATGAACCTTTTAGAGCTGAGCATTTTAGAGTAGTCATGGCTTTTAGATCTATTGAAATTAAAGCTTTCAATGTAAAATGAAAACATAACATGCAACTTCCTGAAACAACATCTATTTGGTGAAACTTGGCCTGGCCAGTTATGGTTTGATAAGGATGCTATTTGGCATGCTAGCTGATTTTGCTTAGCCAATAAGAGTATGATGTTGGGGCAGTCTGTCACTCTTATTTCCAGCACCAATAAATAAGTGGCTGACGTTTGTTTCAACTCTTTGTCCTCCATTGATGGATTTTTCCATCATTTATGAGACAACACTTCCACGCCATTGATGAAATTTTCAATGGGGGGGTTGGGGGATATTGATTACGCATCCTCTGAATGAGTACAGAATCAAAACAGACAAATTGTTTATGCAAGTTTTAGTCTTTGGGGAAAAAACACACGAGTTTCTCAGCTTTTTGTTCAAAGTTTTTTTTTAGCAGAGGCTCTTTTATTCTCTGTTCTTTCTTTTGATATATTGCATGTTCAGATTCTAGGGGACATGACATTTTTGTGAAAATTATCAAAACGCTGGTGGTGGCTGGCAGATGTTGGTGGGAAACAGTTCAACAATATCCCTGAGTTTTAGCAGCACATTTCAGTGCTAACTAATTTTGTGATCCAGTCACAATGATGTGCTAACTTTGTAAAGGGGCTGTATTTGAAGGAAAGGACAATTAAATACTAAAGTGGACAAAACCGCAAACCTGCAGGTTGGTATAAGCATTGAATATAAGAGGGAGTTAAGGATACTAAGTGGGTGTTTACATATAACTGTTAAAGGTACAGCAGCAAAAAGGCTAGTTTAGTTTGAAGGGTCAGTAAGGGGGTGGAAATGGTTGTGAAAAACAAGTATTCTTGCCTAAGCCCAGATGCGAAATGCTTTCCAGCTGGGTGTGTGTTGTGGCCTGTATAATTGCTTCTGGGAGCTCCAGTGGGAAAGGTAATACATCTCTGTTGAACACATACACAATTAGCATAAATTATAATACATTATAGATAAAACACTTGTTTAATGTACATGAATTCTATAATGTTTGTTGGTTTGATGTACCTGCTAATCGTGTAAAACGCCACTAGTCTGCAGAGATCAGGGAAGCTCAGGGCAGAACTTTCTAGAGAAAACGCTAAATGGTGACAAAGCAGATGTAAGAATTTAAGATATAAAAATGTTACCAGACATAAAACCAGGTTTCCCAGCCTTAGCTGTTTATTAATCATTAACTAAATAAACTGTGCGAGCTGGTCTCATTTAGGAGTAGGCCAGTTAGACATTGTTTTGTTCTAATAATGTTTTCAATATCTTTAGTGATAACATTGTTTGTTGATCACGTTTTCTCTTGTCTTTTTCACCATAAAGACTGTTTTATAAACACACAGTTACAACAGCCAGAGAAAAGGTCATGTTAAAAAGTCAAGGGTCAAGAGCCCAACTAAAGCAAACACTGATCACCATAATGGTGACTTCAAACGAAACATTTTCAATCAATCATCAACATCTAAACCCGTTAACTCTCAATAAGACCTTCTGTAGACGTCTGACAGAAATAAAGTCAAACTGGTTAGTAATAAGTGAAGCAGGTAATGTTTGTGGAGTTAACCATGTCCAGTGCCTGCTGGGAAACTTCCCGCTTAAACCTTCATAAGAATTTAGGGGATAATGTTCCATCACTAAACATTGTCAGAATGATTTTAGAGAATGTTATCCTACCTTTTAGGAACATGTTCTGGGAACAAATATAAAACTTTATTTATTTACTGAAAACATTACTAGAACAAACAGGCTGGGAGGCTACCATATAAAATCCATGTCAAGTTTTGCTATAATACCGGTGACTAAAAGGATGAAGAACCAAAAATAGACTAAATAATATCTTATATTGCAATGTAAAAATACCAGTTGTTAAGGATTTGCATTAATCTATAGTAACCATAATTGGCTTACTAACACAATATGACAACAAACATACGTTGTGGGGATTCAAGGTTAATGTGTTAGGCTTAAGGGGACAAAAAATAGCATTAGCTCAGTCTAAAAACTAAGCTAAAGTGTGTGTATGTGTGACGTGTTAAACTCACTGGAGTCTTCCTCGCGGATGGGATACTGTGACACACCTCCCTCCTGCACTCGCACACACAGAACCTTCCTGTGGGAGGCGCTACACTTACACACCAGAAACGTCTATGGACAAAGATGGAAGATACAGAGTTCATTAACCCCTTTATTAGATAGATATGTTATAATATATAATGAAATTGTATAATATTATACATATGTCAAATTATTATATACAACAATAAAGTTGAATATGTCAGAGAATCAAGTACACTGTATTGTGGCGAGGGGTGATTGCAAAATAAAAATAAAAAGTTGTTCAAAAGTGCTTCCTCTAAGAAAATTGCCAAAATTTATAAAACGCTTAAAATGTATGCAATAAAGTAAAATCCATATGAATGTAATGCAACAGACTGCCTCTGTGTTTATTTGAAGTGTAATTGGTTGATTAGCTGTAAATTACATCAGTCTTACTGGCCATTGTTATGCAGGCATAGTTATACAGAGATACATCACTGCATGATAACTATAATTATGACTTATATTGTGAGCAATAGTGGAAAACATGATGATTTGATTTCAAGTGGCGGTTGGGATTCTCTCACCCCGACTATCTCTCGCTGCAGGATTTGGTGGGCGGAGTCAGGGTTGATTGACAGCTGCAACCATATGGAGTGTGTGAGGAGAAGACGATCCAAAACACTTAAACTCCTCTGGAGAGACGCGTCCATCTATAACGCAGAGGACAGGGGTCAGCAAACACAAAACCAGGCCAACAAGGAATCTGAGCTCACAGAAAGTCTGACATTCGCAAATTTCGATGCTTATTAAATATATTGGTAGGACTTTACAGTAAGGTTCCATTTGTTAACATTAGCGAGTGACACACAAACCCGCCTCTCCTCACTCACTCGCTTCATTTTCTCCAGATGAATATTTGTTGGTTACAGGGCTTGAGTTTAAGCGTGGGATTGTGCATATTAGACATAATTTTACTCATTCCCGCAGATTTTGTGGTTAAACACTCAAAGTACGCTCACATAAAGCCGCCTCTCAGTACTAAACTGAGTTCTCTTTAGCTGCTTATTGCACTTAAACAGTCAAATACACACAAAAAATATGTCAAAATGCAGATCTTGGCGAGTATTCACGTAAACACAGTTATGTTTTAAGTGAACTGTGATGGATATTTTAATTAATCAACTAACATTTGTTTTTCTTGCAGGAACAACATTCCTATGCTTTTATGTATATGTGTCCCCTTTGGAGAAAACTCATGGTTGTGTGTGAGTGTATAAATAACAAATATGGGAAATGAAACTAGACAGATGTACCTTGTGATCATGAAGTAATCACAGAAACAGAGTTTGTTTTACCTGGTAACAGAAGAACCAATCAAATTGTAGGGAAATTATGTAATGCATCATGGCATTGTTGCCATTCCCCTATTCTATAAAAACTGTGGTATTTGTGTATCTGGTGGGATTCCCAATGGACTTTGACTGAGATCCTCCGGCCTTTCTTCGTCTTGGGGGAAGTTCTCTGAGGAAATGTCGAGAACTATCTCCCGGCCGTAATTAAAGCATTTAAAGGACATTTGCTGAAGTCTGTTTGTCGATTATTCCTGCGCAGGAAGCAAGTCAGATAGGGAAGCAAGTAAGTTAGAGTATAGGAAACTGAAAACGCAAGAGCTAGAGTATAAAGGTATTGGGTGTCGATTGGAGACGCTTCAGGTAGTGGCTTTAAGTTTAGGGGAAAATCTACCACAGAACGTAAACAGTTGAGAAAGAAAAAACGCACGTGTAACAGTATATTGAGTCGGTGCATTAGTTCTTGAAGTGACAGAAGCCTAATACACCGACTGTCAAATTATGAGATAGGGCTGTCAGTTTTGTGACAAAAATCCTGTTTGATTTTGGAGATATGTGTGTTCATTGAATCGATTGTAAAATCGATATTCCATGTCTAAAGAAGTTTCCATTTTCAACACCAAATACAGGCAAATCCACGGACACCTAACAGGCATTAGGACGAGCGTAAAGAGGGCGTTTGAGACGCACAAGTCAGCAATATTTCTGATGATTTATTGGCGTGAAGTTTCGTGCACAATGACAAACAGGAGCGCAACATTCAGGGATTGAGATTAACTCCCTCGGCCCGCCAAATGCGGGTAAAAATGAACATTGGCGGGAAACGCTGTCAAATCACGAGCCAATCTGGAGTGTTTCTATGTTTACTCGCTTTGCTGTGGAAGTTCGAGTAAGACAAATCTGCGTGGATTTAGGCTTATGATCTGCTCATGATATATTAAATACAGCGTATTACGCAGAATCTGCGCATTTCTGGCTTACTTGAACACACGCGTCACTAAGCAACAAATAACGGCGCGCTTGTTCACTTGCATTGAAGTAATAGCAAATATTAAAAAGCATTTGGTTAACAGAAAAGACATGTTCATGTACTGTAATGATCAATCCACCTAAAACAAATTTTTGGTAAAAAAGAAAAAAGGCCGTTAAAATCGATTCCCTATTTTCGTTTTCGAAACTTGTGTTGGTTGGTCCGATCGATTGTGCAATCGATTTTCGAACGTAAAGTGACAGCCCTATTATGAGATAATATTAAAAATATCTATATGGCAGTTTTTCCCCAATGGTATCGATGTCAAAATTGTGGCTAGTGAAAATGCTTGGTGGCTAGTAACTTTTGAAAACCGCTAACCAGAGTGGCCAAAAAAAGTGACTGTCAAGCCCTGGGTGCATCTCTAAATTTATTCTAAACTGTTCCCAATATTTATTAAATACTTGTGATACTGCTTTCAGTTACCTACAGTTCTCTCCAACATGTTTTACCCTGTTCAAATCCCAAAACCAGCACACAGAATCTTTGGAAATCTTTGCAGATTCTGTCTGGGCCTACATGAAACGCGCAGACAATGAACCGTGCAGCAGTCACTGCTTCAAACGCTCGCTCGCTCTCGCTGCGATGACACTGTGTGGGCAGCCCGAGAGGATGCTTATGCATAACAGCAGATGGTTGTCATGGCAACAGATGCCTACACGTCCTACCAGGCAGTCCCACTCATCCACGGACACCTACTCACCCGAAACACGCGCACACACACACACACGAGGCAGACTGCGCTTAAAAAGGCGAGGAACTGTTGGCAAAGTAGAGAGGATGTTTTTTAATTCCTGGTTCTCGTGCCCTTTCCCTCTCTAGAGGTGTCAGAGAGCTCTCCGGCACAATCAGGGCTCTTTGCGATATTTTTATCTAGTTTTTGAAGCCCACATCCCCTCCTCACACCGTTCTCATCGTCAGACAGGTAGATTCAGCTGTGTTTTATACGCTTCACAATGAAGAAT